GGAAAAAAAACCAACTGATTTCTCTTTCACTCTACTAATTTAGCACATTTGGAGAGGGTGAGGAGAAGGGCTGTTGTTTCTATGGAACAATACTTGAGCGAGTCATTCAGTACGATTGCATACCCGAGAACATCTCCAGCTGGGTGTACTGGATGAGTGTGGTATCAGACTTGGTTTCTTTTGATTTTACCTGGGTAGGACTTGTGTTGGGATGAAAGTGTGGGGATAGGAGTCAACAGCCCATAGAAGCATCCCAGATAATACCTAGTCCTAAGGATTGCTTTTCTTTTGTTTCTCCAGCTCTTTAGAAAAGGAGCAAATGTTGCGGAGACAGGCGGAGCTGGAGTCTGCACAGAGCCGTCTCCAGTTGCAGGTTTTGACGGATGAATGCAGCAAACTCCGCAAGCAAGTCCAGGTGAGTCTCATGCTCCTCATATACAGAGGATTCCCTTTCTCTTCAACCTGTCTTCTGCATGTTCCCTTAGATGAGAGAAAACAGGCTTCCAGTTTTAGTAAGCAGCAAGATTGATTAATGGATTAATAAGCTCGAGAAGTGGCCCTGTGTGAACCTTATGAAGTTCAGCAAGGCCAAGTGCAAGGTCCTGCACTTGGGTTGGGGCAACCCCCAGTATCAATGCAGACTGGGGATGAAGGGATTGAGAGCAGCTCTGCAGACAAGGACTTGGGGGTACTGGGGGACGAAAAGCTGGACATGAGCTGGCAATGTGGACTTGCAGCCCAGAAAGCCAACTGTGTCCTGGGCTGCACCCAGAGCAGCGTGGGCAGCAGGTCGAGGGAGGGGATTCTGCCCCTCTGCTCCGCTCTGGTGAGACCCCACCTGCAGTGCTGTGTCCCATTCGGGAGTCCTCAGTATGAGACATGAACCTGTTGAAGCAGGTCCAGAGGAGGCTGCAAAAATCATCAGAGGGCTGGAGCAGCTCTGCTGTGAGGACAGGCTGAGAGAGTTGGGGCTTTTCAGCCTGGAGAAGAGAAGGCTCCAGGGAGACCTTATTGCTGCCTTTCAGTACTTGAAGGGGGCCTAGAAGAAAGATGGGGACAGACTTTTTAGCAGGGCCTGGAGCGATGGGACAAGGGGAAATGGTTTTAAACTAAAAGAGGAGAGATTCAGACTAGATAGAAGGAAGAAATATTTTACACTGAGGGGGGTGAGCCCTGGCCCAGGTCGCCCAGAGAGGTGGTAGAAGCCCCATCCCAGGAAACATTCCAGGTCAGGTTGGATGGGGCTCTGAGTGACCTGATCTGGTTGAAGATGTCCCTGCTCACTGCAGGGGGTTGGACTGGATGACCTTGAAAGGTCCCTTCAACCCAAACCATCCCATGATTCTATGATTTAGTAAACTCAATTGGTGAGTCATCAGGAATATCCTAAACGTCCCAGTTTGGCATATGCATGTGTACTGCATAACACTGACCCTTGGATGGTTTTTTTGTTTTGTTTTGGTTTTGGGAGGATTTTTTATGCTTCTAAGACTTAATCAAAGTTCCAGGTATGGCTTAACGTAGAGTTTTTTAGCTGCTGATGTTGCAGGTTCCTCCTCAGGTTTTGTGGTACTTGGTAGGGCCTGGTAATGCAGCACCAAACTCACTCCTTATCTTTCTCTCAGCTGCATCTAAATAAGCTTTGAAAAATCTCTATATTAAACCTGTCATGAGACCTATTATCCCTAGTTAGTCAAGAGCCTTGGAGAAGTAGTTTGTGAAGAAGTCTGGCTCTTTGGAAAAACAAAAGTAAACAATAAAAACCCCCTAATTTTTTGGAGAACATCAGTCAACGATCTACTTAAGCACCTTCTGGTACCAGGAGCCGTGGCCTGTCAATGGGGCAGGCTGTGTGCATGGGCTGAACAGCTGCTGAGAGGCACCTCTGTCCCCTTAGAGTGCAAATTACTGACAATAAATGACTGTTTGCTTTCTGCTTTCTGCAGTACTGCGCTGGTTTGTAACCCATCACAGCTGCTTTTGCAGGAGTCCTATAAATTGTGGATTTTGGTGCTTTCAACTGTGAATTATCTGGCATGTTGCACCAGCACGAGGCTTTCCAGCAGCCTGCTTCACTGCCAGGTTCCTACTTTTTTGTTGGATGGAGTAGATGGTATCTAATCTCTCACTGTCTAGTAACTCATTTAATTTTTTTGCTTTTCTCTACTTCTGGATTTTTTTAATAGCTCTGGCTATTCATGTCTGGACATGAAGCAACATCCTCTCTGCTGAAATCTTGCTGTGTGATGTAAGATAAGGCTTTATAAACGACTTGCCTAAATTCCTGCATTAAGCTGTATGCTCATCAGAGCTAATAAGAAAATTAGTCTATTTTAAACTTTGGCTTCAAGAAAACGTGAGTGAGATTAAAACTGCAGGTCCATAATGTGTCCCTGCAATTCTTCTGGTGTTAAATGATAGAGTATCCAGTCTAACTGAATTGAAGTCGCCTGTGATAAAGATGAAGTACCCTGTGTTCTTTAAGCTCTGTTTCAGAATTTATACTGCATTCATCACTGTCCTGTGGTGGTTCATGTGAATGCTGGAAGCAATTTTAAGGTGCTTGTTTATACTATGAATAAATTGAAAGTAAAACAATTTGGGGAGGAGAAAATCAGCAAGAAGTCTGGAGTAAGTCTCTAAGTTATTTGATTCTATTTTGAGCGGATGCCTAACGAGTTCCTTGTCTTATGAGGTTATTTACAAAAGCAATTACTTGTATAGAATCGTTTAGGTTGGAAGGGACCCTAGTTGGGTGACTTCAGCACTGGGTTGGGTGGCTCAGGGCACTGTCACACCAGGTGTTGAGTGTATCCAAGAAGATCTCACGGCTTCTCCGGACATACCGTTGTTTGACCATCCTCACTGGGAATTTTTTTGTCCTAAAATCTCAGCTGAATTTGCCTTGTTGCATCATGAGTCTGTTGCCCTGGTCCTTTCAGCAAGCAACGTTACTGATGGCACAAGCAAACGTGTTTCATTGGAAGACAAAGCTGTAAATCAATATAGAACACAAAGTGCTGTGGGATCCCAAAAGAAATGTGTGAAATGTCTGTACGCTGGGAGGGACGTTCCATACGGCAAAGTTCAGTTGCACAGAACTTCAGTGGAACAGTTCTGATGTTCATTGCTTGCATACAGACCTCGGTGTCTGAGGTCTCACGGAAAGCAAATGCCGTCGCTTTCCCTCCCAAAAGTTACTGTGTGAACCCCTTTTTGTTGCTAACGCGCTTGAGAGTTGTGCCTCATCACTAGTTACAACCTTTTTTTTGGGTTTGTGTGCATTTTTCCCTGCTCTTTGTCCATTAACAATCTTGTTGCTTGTACTCTGAAGTATTTCAGATGATTGAGGCTAGAGAAGGGATGGTTTTTAAGTCTTTAAGCTGTATGAAAATATACGAGAGAAAGGAACTTGAGGGGAGAGAGGGTAGGTAACTAACTACAACTTCTGGAAGAAGACTCTGCCTTCTTCACCAGTCTTGTTTCTCTCTTCTTCTAGAGAAGACTCTCCTTCCCCAGTCTGTTTCTCTGGGTAAACCTGCAGTGTGTGGCTGTGCTGAGCTATATGCTCCACGCTGCGTGGCAGGTTCAGACTTGCATTTTGGAAGCAGTGCTACCAAAACCTTACTTTTGCCTCAAGTTTTTCCTTTGTGAGAACGAAGAATGGAGGAATCAGATGTGAGGTATTGCAGGACTCCTCCTGAATCTGACAAAGTTTTCAATAACAGTTAGTTAATGATAGCAAACCATCTCTGGCTCCTGACGTAAATGCTGCTGATCAACTCAGGTAGAAGATTTATTTTTGCCAGTGGGAAACAGTAGCTCTGTTTGGAGCACTAAAGGAAGGGCTGGCAGGGAAATGACAGGGGATTGCATGCTGCTGGGGGGAAGAAAGCAAGTGTAATCCTGAGCCTTGCACAGGTCAGTTTGTATTGCTCAAAGTATTGGAAAAGCTTTATTGATATAGGATTTTCAGAGCACCCAAAAAGAACTGGATGGCAAAATATCAATAAATTTGTGAATCTAACACGTTTAGAAAAAATTTAGGCTAATGGTTTTATTGCCTAAAAATCTTTTAACCCTTCTGATCACCTCCAGTTGATGTCTGAGGAAGATCTAGAAGAAGTAAAAGCTGATATTTCATTCAGCTGTTCCTTTAGAGCTGATTAAAAATGCTGTGTGTTCCTTTGAATTTGGACCTGAAGCAAAGGAAGGTGGCATGCCTGTAATGCTGCAGCTTGAGGTTGTAGAGTCACGTGTTTATCTTTATTCAATGCAAGGCTGGGGCTGTGTAGTGCAAGACAGCGAGTGTGGCTGCTGTAAGAGGTCTGTGGGAGCACAGCCAGAGAGTAACGCTCATCTGATAACTGCTTTTGTCTTTAAAGCTTCCTATCAGCTGTTAAGACTGTAACCTTAGACTCAAAAGAAAACTGTTCTAAATTAAAGAAAACTGTTCCCAATTTGTTGTAGCTGGTGGTTTTCCTTTCCAATTCATTGTGCTCTCTTGCTCCTACTTCTCATCCATACTCCTCAGGAAGACTTCTGCTATGTATCCTCTTTTTTTTCTCCAAGCTGTGCATCTGTGCTCATTCAGGCTGAAATCTAGGAGGCAGTCATAGCGTGTGCAGAGGGACCAGCGTGCTGTCGAGGCTCTTAGCCAACACCAGGCATCAGGAAAACTCTGCAGAGCATCTTAAAGGAAGGTCCAGGCTTACACTACCAAAAGAGTCCTCTTTTGAGCACAATTAGTGGAATTTGTTCTGCAGTGCACTGTTTTTAATCACCTTGCTAATGTGTCTCCAGTAAGGCTTCCTGATTCTGCTGGGTTTGTCCTTTGTGTTTAAATGTACCAACAGTCCCTGTGGCTTTAATTGCCTGGTTTCCTTTTTAATAACTTGAGTAAAAGTTGAATGGTGAGTGCAGGTGACAAGGAGAGTTTTGTAAACTCCCCAGAGCAATAAATATTTTTAATCTCTTTTGATCTTTGGTGGTGGTATCCTCCTGCCTTTTAGAAATAATGAGTTTATTAAGTTTTTGATTAAAAGTCACTTTCTTCTAAGTTTCCAGTGCTTTCATTGACTGCTTACTCTAAGCCTGAAGCTACAGCTTCCATCATAAGCATGCTGGCACCTCCCACACCTCTTCTTCCTCCCCGGGTTTGCTTCTTCTAATGGGATCAGCTTGACTCTTCAGCTTTGTTTTTTTGTTTTTTTTTTTTAATTTACTATTATTTTTATTCCTTTGGAGAATTTGCATTGAGCTTAATGCAAAGCAGATCAGACCTCTGTAAAATATCAGAATTGCTCTCTGCTTGAGCAGTTTCCAAAAGTTATAGGTCTTGATGGTAACAATTAATGTAGAGCTTGATCTTTGATCTTGCCTCCTTGAGAACTGCTGCCTTTGCTTGCACATGAGGTAAGTGGTAGTGGCTGGTTCAATATTGAAGCTAGCTTACAATCTGCTAGTAAATCCATAGTATCACTCTTGCAGCCCTTAATTGTTTAAAAATATCATAGTATTTGAAGCATTAATCTATGTTGCTCAGACAACAGAAAGGAAGTAGCAATTTTCTTAATATATACACTCCCTGTAGTGTCCCTGAGGGTCTCTGCTGTCTGCTTTTGCCCTTGGATTACAAGTTCATCAATGTGCTTTTTTAGGGGGGGCATTTTTAGTTGACTCACACTGTGCCAGTGCCACTGCTCACCTACCCACCTCACTCCTGATGATCTCTATGGAAAGAGGAATTCTAGGAATACCTTGCTGCTGATGGCAGCATCCTTGGCCATGTCTCTGCTGAGCATCCTTGAGCATTCTCATTGCTTGAGGTGGAGGAAGAGGAGGGAGGAGGTGGTGGGAAAACAGGGCTGGAACTCTTGAGAGTTGTATTGTTCCTGGAATTTGCTGTCCAGGGCTTACAAGAAGAGGGTCATCTCCATTAAGTAGACTGCCTCGTTTCCTGCAACGCCCTCGGTGTTGAAACTTGGCCTTTTATTTTTTTTTTTATGGGGTATTCTGGAAATTCTGGAAAATGGTTCTAATTGACTTTCTCTTGTGGTTTAGCTGCATGTAATACTTGGCAGTTTATTCTTTTCTAAACAGCATTGATCTGGTAATAATTGTTACTGGCTTTTATGTGTTGCCCAAGAGTCCTCTCTCTCACAGGGTCTAATACATATAATAACAGACTGAGTACGTTCTGCCAGAACTTGCCTAGCCTTTTGAATGCTTTTGTTGCTCATTCTCACAGTCAGTGGACTTGGAAATCCAGCATTTCAGGAACAATGTGGAAACTGGACCATATTCTCCCTCTTTATCTGAAAACAAGTACAGTTGGAACACCTGGAACAGATAGCACAGTACGTTACATCACCAGTGACGCATTAAAGCTCTTTGGGTCTTTTTCTTTGCAGGAGCTGAAGGCTCTGGTGGCCCAGCACAACGTGAGTGCTTCTCAGCAAGCTGGCAGCTCCCGTGCCTGCCTGCCAGGCAGCCTTCCCTCCAGCCAAAGCCAGCGCAAGTACCACCTGGAGAAGGTTTTTGTGGTGTCTCAGACTGGGAACTGCAGAGTGATGGCATACTGTGACTCGCTGAGTTGTCTCGTGGTATCACAACCTTCTCCACAGTCTACTTTTATTCCTGGTAATTAAGCAAGTCAAGATTTGGAGGGGTCATATGTGAAAGTTTAATGTGTTTTCTACCCACTCCCTTCTCTTGCTTGACCTTTGCCTGTGCCTTGTAAACTGGGAATGCTCGTAAGATTCCCTGTAGTTCACCTGGCCCCTGCATTGGTAACTGCTGCCTGGCAAGGTGGCTCGTTTATCATAGAATCATAGAATGGTTTGGGTTGGAAGGGACCTTAAAGCTCATCCAGTCCCAACCCCCCTGCCATCAGCAGGGACACCTTCCACTAGACCAGGTTGCTCAAAGCCTCATCCAACCTGGCCTTCAACACTTCCAGGGAGGGGGCATCCACAAGTTCCTTGGGCAACCTGTTTCCCCATCGCTTCTACAGCAGAATCCTAGCAGAGGGTCTCTGGCTCTTCTGCTCAAGTGCCACATTCACGAGAAGGTAAAAGGTGTGTCTGGTGCTCCTTGCAAAGGTGGGTTTTCTGACAAGAACAAGGGGCCAGTGCACTAGGCCATGTGGAGAAGCTTCCTGTGCTTGAGTAAAAAACGCTCCCCAGATTGTAGGTGGATTGATCTACACGCAGCTGATCTGTCAATATTCTTTAAAAAAAATCACAACAAAACAAAAAAACAAAAAAGGAAGAACTGAAAGCAAAAAAACTTTTGATACAAATGCTAGGAGCTCTGTTCCCCAGTGAGGAAACAGGGAGCCAAGAAGCCATGGGCAGCCCCGTTTCCATCGCACTGTTATGTCCTGGGGCAATTGGCCTGACGTCTGGGCCGCTGCCAACCTGCTTTTGCAATGACATAGATGTAGCATTAGGAGTCTGAGAGAGTTTGTTTGCAAAGTACTTAAATGCTTTCTGAACGATGAAACTACCTTTATTTGCTTAATGGTTTGGAGATTAATATGCCTTATCTAGTCATAACAAAAGTGTTTTCTGCATTCAGCTGACCTTATTTATCTGGGTTTTGGAGCCAGGGAATGAATCTGTGAATGGAGGCTTTGTGGTGACTCTTGTAGCACACAGGTTAAGGTCACCTGTGAGCATTCTTTGCAGTGACACTCATTCTCTTAAACAGCCATGTAATCCTACTGTGTGTGTTTTTATCTAGGAAAGAATGTCTTCGAATAAACTGGCTAAAGAGCAGCAGGCTCTTGTAACAAGAATTGGAACACTGATACTGAGTTTGCTCTTGCTGGCTGGGATCCCTAAGGATTTATCCCTGGTGCCATTTGAACTGAAGAATGATTTGTGGCACTTCTTATCCAGAACAGCAAACGATTTTTCCATGTTTATCCCACCACAGGTTTCAGTTCAGACACTGCAGTTCTGGCATAGACTTGCTAGTTCTCCACGTGCACTGCCTCAGGATAACCTGCTTTATCCGTCCTCTGTGACAGGTTGTGGTGTTAAGATGATGAGCGTGGCCAATCTGAAGAGCAGCCAGTACATCCCCATCCATAGTAAACAGATTCGGGGCCTGGCTTTCGGCAGTCGAGCGGATGGTTTGCTCCTCTCTGCTGCTCTGGACAACACCCTCAAACTTACCAGGTGAGTCCTGCTGTGGGGAGCAACCTGTCCCAGTGTGTGAGAGACTGGATTCTCTTCTGTCCCCCTCTAAATGTCTTTTAGTGCTTACTATTCTGCTTTCCAAACAATGCTGCTGAGATGAGATCAGGTCTGTGTATATTCTTCCTGAATGTGGGAACTAACAGAGGGAAAGGCTTGTTCTTGCTTTCAGATCCTTTAGGTGGAGGTTGTATGGAGGTACCTGTCTCTGATACTTTTCCTGCAGAGAATTTGGTGGAAAACAATCACAGAATGGTGGGGTTGGAAGGGACCTCAGGAGATCATCCAGTCAATCAGGTTCACCCAGAGCAGGTTGCACAGGAAAGTGTCCAGGTGGGTTTAAACATCTCCAGAGATGGAGACTCCACACCCTCTCTGGACAGCCTGTCCCAGGGCTCTGGCACCCTCACAGTACAGAAGTTTTTCCTGAGGTTTGTCTGGAACTTTGGGTGTTCCAGTTTGTGCCCATTGCCCCCTGTCCTGTCACTGGGCACTGCTGAAAAGAGCCCGGCCCCATCCGTTTGGCCCCCACATTTCAGATATTTATAGACATTGATCAGATCCCCTCTCAGGCTGCTCTTCTCCAGGCTGAACAGTCCCAGCTCTCTCAGCCTCTCCTCACACGGGAGATGCTCCAGCCCCTCATCATCTCTGTGACCTCTGCTGGACTCTCTCCAGAAGTTCCCTGTCCCTCTTGAACTGGGGAGCCCAGAACTGGACACAGGTTTCCAGATGTGGCCTCACCAGGGCAGAGTAGAGGAGGAGGAGAACCTCCCAACAAGTAATTCAGCACGGATTGGCCAAGTTATGTTGAGAACATTAATATATAGATGTGAAATTTACTGCCTGCTTGGTTTTCCATTACTGCAGGGAAGTGTGGAGCATGAGAACTTGTATGGCCTAAAACAGAAACAAGGGGTATGGAGATTCTCCCCTGCACTACTGTTGGCTTTTCTGACTAAACTTCTTGCAGAGCACAGAATTCATCTGGGATATGGGTGTGTAGACGGCATTGTTGAGCATTTGCTAGAGGAACAGAGGTTCTCTAGAGCTAGCAGAGACTTAAAGCAGCAGGTTGGAGACTAATTATGCAGATGCTGAGAGAAAAATGTGTCCAGTCCTGTTGGAATTTACAGCCTACGAGTGTATTCTCTTGATACTCTGTGCTGCTCTTCAATCTGAAGCTTAAGGTGCTTCAGAACTTGGGTGGCTGACTGATTCTCACTGAGTTACAGTTAGATCTTTATGCACATCTGTCCATCAGTTGCTGTAGGGTTGGGCAGGATATGTGTCTCTGTTTTATGACTGATTTTTTCCCACCCAATTCTTTCCCACCAGTGAAGCAATGAAGAGAACTTAATCCTGCAAAAACAATTTAAAGAATGTTGCTTTCCTGTTACCTTGTTGAAATGTTTGCTGGACCATTTAAAAGTAAACAAAACTGTCTGTCTCTGATGCGAAAGTCAGTGTGTCAGATTTCCAGGCGATGAAGTCAATATTCTTTTCATGGTTTAACTTGGAGAGCAGCTTCTTGTCGCAGTATCTGCTCAGACACTTGACTCCCATATCTGCCTGGTTGGCTGCATCAGAACTTGAGATCCTCGTGCTTTTGGGCTTGATCCCAGAATGTCTTGGAGTTAAGTGCTTGCTTCAGCAGCATCTTCATAGCGTCTTTCAGTCTCCCTCTGAAATAAAAATCCCCCTTTGATGATCTGCCTTCTCTAGTTACTGATTTCTTTGTCATCCTACCAAAAGGAATTATCAAAGATGTTCTGAAGTCTCCTGCTCTGGCTTGGAAGTCTTTAAAATAACCCCAAAGCTTTGGTGTTGGGTTTTTTTTTCTCCTGTTGTTTTCAACCAGTCGCTGTTTGATATCATACTCCCCATTAGTTTTCCCCAGCCAGCTTTGTCTTTGTGGTGGTTCTCCCTATACTTACCTGGGAGCAATTACTTGCTTCTCTGGAGTTCTGAGTGTAATCACCTTCCCAAGGAGAAACCCATGTGTTGTAGAGGATATCCAGAGTTACTTTGATACATGCTGTCTTCTGTCTCACACCGTTCTCAGTGTGCTGAGCTTGTGTTGACAACGCTGCCCTTTGCAAATACATCCTAATCTGACACCAGCTTCATCTGCTACCCTGGGCTGTGCCCTTCTGTGTACTTCCCTCTTCTTCCTTCCACAAATTTACTTGCTAAAGAATTAACGCTATAAATGGGCTTTTAACTGTCTTTACCTCACTCACAGTCTTGCTCTTGCTTAAATATGATTCTTCTGAGGCACAAACACTCTTCCTCTTGTGTAAAAAGAAGGAAATAATTAATGAGAGATGTAATCTGAAGAGATGAGCCCTGTGATCTCAAGAATGTGCGGTATTACGGAATTACACTTGTGTCACTTCTAATTGTTTCCAGAAAAGGAACTTAGCTTTCCCTTTCCAGTAAAGCAGCTGAGAACCCTGCTCTGAGACTTCCTTTCCCAGTCTCCAAAGATCAATCCAGAAAAGGAAGCATTGGCCTGGAAGAATTAGAAATCTCTTGACAATATCCAAGTGATTATTCTGTCTAGATTGTCCGCATTCATGTCTGGAGTAAAGGAGGAGTTAATTCAGAAATGAGTCTAAAGAGAGATGCTTCTGTCTAAAGAATTTAAAAAGCTAGATTTGCTGACCTTAATTATGCTGTTTTCTCATCGGTTGATGCTTGTGCAAGGGGCCAACACTTTGCTTTTCTTCTGCAGCTTGGCAACAAATACTGTGGTGCAGACCTACAACGCTGGCCGTCCTGTCTGGAGCTGCTGCTGGTGTCTCGATGACACAAACTACATCTATGCGGGATTGGTCAATGGCTCCATCATGATATATGATTTGAGAGACACGAACTCTCACGTCCAGGAACTAGTCCCTCAGAGGTCCAGGTATGGCAGAAGGATTTTTCATTCCTCTGAAATTCACTAATATACATTAAGCTAAACATAGCTTCTTCCATAAATCATACAGCAATTGCAGTATTTTAAATTGGTTTTTATGTGAATCTTGTTCAAAAATTCAGATTTAGCACAGATGGGAGAAGTTTCTCCTCAGGTTTCATGGTCTATGTTTAACTTAGGACAAGTGCTTGGCCTCTGCATCTTTTTAAGGCACACAGTGGTCAGAAATGGACCCACAGGTGCAGCCTAAACAGGAGAACTGACTTTGTCTTGGAGTTGGGTTTAATATTTAATTTGGAAAGGACAAATTACAAAGAGGTGTGAGACGCTGTCACTTCCACCTCTTCTACTCAGGGAGCCAAATGCTGATTTACACACATCAGATCTGTGCTGTCTCATGCTTCTTTAGGTTGTGGAGTCTCCTTCTCTGGAGACATTCAAAACCTGCCTGGACGCCTTCCTGTGTAATTTCGTTTAGGTTCCTGCTCTGGCAGGGGGGTTGGACTGGATGATCTTTTGAGGTCCCTTCCAATCCCCAACATTCTATGATTCTGTGATTCTTTAAAACATAAGGCTCAGTAGTTAAGTTGAATTTCATTTATTCTTGACAAACCCATTGGGGTTCTTTGCTCGAGAGACAGTTTGTAGCCTGCTTAGGCCCTTTCTTTGCAGTGACTGGAGCTGGGAAGCGGTGAGGCTGGCAGCACTGACTCTTGCCAATCCCATTTTCAGGTGCCCCATGGTGTCGCTGTCCTACCTGCCCCGGATGGCCTCAGCATCACTGCCTTACGGTGGAATATTAGCTGGGAACTTGGAAGGAGCCTGCTTTTGGGAACAGAAAGCTGCCAATTCCTACCGACCTCATCACCTGCCACTGGAACCAGGAGGATGCATCGATATCCAGACAGAGATCAGCACACGGCACTGCCTCGCGACGTACAGGCCCAGTACGTAACGGTGTCCGTCTGCAACGCGCTCTTCGTTCCCTTGATGGGGTCAACAGCAGCTCTGGTGCTGAGGGCACAGGGAAAGAGCCAGAGCAGCGAGCGTCTGCACGTACATAAGAATGGGGCGAAGGCAAAAGGGGGCAGCTTGTTTGTGTTCCTACAGCTCAAACTTGTCTGCAATTAAATTTTCCAAAAGTTACCTTCTTATTTCTACCACGCAGGTAAGAATAACCCGTGTGTGCGTTGTGTGGTGATGGAGCTGACTTGCAGCCCGCTGACAGAGGCCTCTGAAGACGTGGTGTGTTCTTCTAACCCGGTTCAGACTTTCAGTGTGGGCCCCACCTGCAAGTTGCTGACCAAGAATGCCATTTTCCAGAGCCCGGAGGAGGACGGCAGCGTCTTCGTGTGTGCTGGCGATGAGGCATCTAATTCTGCCCTGGTACCTCTCGTTCCTTTCCGTGTGGTGAAGGGTTTTATTGCAGTTTTTAGGAGAAAAGCCCTATCAGTGTCACAGCATCGAGTGTGTTTAGGTGGGAATTGTCTTGTCACGCACGTTACCCTGTGCAGGTTGGTGTGTTGTGCTGTAGCAGATGTAATTTTGTGATAACTTGAGTCACCCAACGTTGGCCAAGGCCTGTGGTCCATGTCCATCGGGAGGAACGCAGGCAGCGAGCTCCTGTTGCCCACCTGAGGAATGCAGTTGGGCATGCTGACACAACTGGACACTAACTGGTGTAACGGGGGCTCAGTGGGACAGCTGATGTGGTACGTGTGATGAGGGATGGGCACAGGCTCTTTGGGAATGACAGGGAGAGGGTGCCCTTTACATGAAAAAAATAGTTTGGATGCAGAGGATGGACCACAGGCTGTGTGAGAGCTCATGAGTCAGGGTCAGAGGAGAGGGCAGTCAGGGTGGCACGCTGCTGGGAGTCTGTTAGAGACCAGGGTGTAAAAGTAGAGAGAAGGTCTGTAAGTAACTTGAGGAAAGTCTTTTCTGTAGAGAGAGCAAGCTCTGGTTTGGGTGGGAGGGGAGGATCCTGCAGTCTGACCTTGTCTGTCCCACAGCTATGGGATGCTGGCAGTGGCTCCTTGCTGCAGAAGCTGCAGGCTGACCTGCCTGTCCTGGATATCTGCCCCTTGGAAGTGAACCAAACCCACTTCCTGGCTACTCTGACTGAGAAGACGGTGAAGATCTACAAGTGGCAGTGAGCCTGGTCCCCGTGCCTGCTGCAGAGAAGCTTTCCAAATGTGCTGCTCACTAACCCTACCCAGCTGCTCAGCCCCAGACTCTGCTGTCCTGCATGAGCTGCTCACAGGAGACAGGAACTGCTGCAGCACCTTCCTAGCAGTAGGCAGGAACTGGGATGTGCTGGTGCCTGGAGCAATTCCCTTCTCCCTCCATCTTCCTTTTTAGGTCTGCTCTATTTCTTCTTGGGTCAATTTTCTTCAGTCAAACTTCACAGGCTGCCTCAGCACAGCAATAATTCTTGGAGTGGCTCCAGTATGTGTTGCTGCATTCTTTTCCAGTGTGAATCCAGCACAGGGACTTGCAAATCTCTTATAGGAATCAACAAAATAAGAAGAACTTGAAGACCTGAGACTCCCACTGCACTTCCTCCTGGAATCCTGCTGTGATTACTGGGTGATGAAAAGGTGGCGATACCGGCATCGCGCTCGCACAGCTGATACCAAGTGTAAAAGCAAGTTCATGGCTTTAGAGAACACTCTCGTGTTCTTCAGAGGTTGAGGGTCAGTTGGCAGTTATTCCCCCATGAGGACAGACCCTGTTTTGTCTTGGAAAAGTCTACAGAGAGCATTTTTCTTTTATGCCTTTTTTTTTCCCATGAGCATATCATTTGCACTGTCATTCCTTAATTATCTGCCCCCATTTCCTTCCCCTTTCTCTCTTCCCTGCTTCACCCACAAGCAAACTGTGGAAAATGAAACTAGAGAAGTATAGATGAAGAGGAGGAGATGATTCTTGTGCTGCTGCAGTCCATGGTGTCCTTCCTTAAAGACAGCGATGCACTGAAACAGCCAGTACCTTGGAAAAGAATGATGGTGGCTGGTTGGGTTTTTTTCACTTTTTTTTTTTTTCCCCTTTGAGAAATCTGTGGAAACTCAGGGATTTCATCAGCTTGCTTTCACTGACCTTTTGCCTTCCTTAAATCACAGTTGCCAGCTCCCAAGCCGGTCACAGCCAGCTTCCAGTGGTATTGATGTGCACGTGTGCTGCGGACTCGCTGGTTTGCGTAAATCTGAGCCCATCGGCTGGGATCACAGGTCAGGGGATGTGGGCTCTTAACACCATGACCATAAATATGCTGAGGGGGTGTGAGAATGTTTATCTCCAGGTCACAGCCAGCTTCCAGTGGTATTGATTGCACGTGTGCTGCGGACTCACTGGTTTGCGTAAATCTGAGCCCATCGGCTGGGATCACAGGTCAGGGGATGTGGGCTCTTAACACCGTGACCATAAATATGCTGAGGGGGTGTGAGAATGTTTATCTCCAGGTCAGATCATGAGAGAGGACTTAGGTTTCATTTTATGTTTAACGAAAGCAAACTTGCAAGGATGTTGGAAGCTGCAGGACGAATTCCCTGTGCTGGGAACGTATCCCTGGGCGCGCTGCTGCCTCCGGCTGTGGTAAGCAGCGTCTGTCCTGTTGGGAGCGAGCGTGCCACCACTTCAACTGCCACTATCATTTTATTCTCTGAAGTCTGAGGCTTGCACAGTGTTATCCTGTTTATGTCTTACCTCTTAAAAATGAGATTGAGAAGATCTCTGCTTAACTTTATATTTTTCTGTATAGTATTTTGTTCCTATATTTTTATATACTGTAAAAATAAAGTGGTTATAGTTACCAAATATAGCTGGTGCTGCTGTACTTTGGATCTCAGTGATGTACATTGTGTATCTTTGGACCATAAACAAGCATCCCCATACACAGGTGAGGTTTCTCATGCTTTGTAATGTTTCCAAATCACACTGAGCTTCAGACTGACCTAAGGGAGGGTTTTAGTGACTGAGGAGTCCCCACGCTGCTCTGACCAGCTGAGGGGACAGGACAGGCTTGAGCCAAGTCAGGCCCTGCACCTGGGACATCCTTTTCACTGCAGAGAAATTCACTGATGTGAGACTTGGTGGCATTTTAACGATGATCAGGAACAAAGGGTAAGTAGAAAGAATAACACTGGGAGAAGGTCTCCAGTAACACCAGCTAAAACCAGAAGGAGCGAGCTGCTCTGCCATGAGCTGCTTGTTCTCGGCCGTTCGGAGGCATCATTTATGCTCAGTCCACTCCTTCCCGCAAGAAAAGTGGAAAACTTGAATTCCTTTTTCTGTATGTCTTTTAAAAGACCTCACAGCTTTTGATTTTATAGATAGCATTTTTCTCCTTTATAACGCCCTACAGGAATAAAAGGTACAAACTTAAATGCTATTAAAATAATAATGGAAGATGACACTTTCATGTTCCCTCCGTTTTCAAATCCAGAGTTTAAGAAAATTTTCAGAGATGTGAAGAACCTTGTAGCACTGTCCTGGTCACAGGTTTGCAGCAGGCTCCAGGAAAGCACCTGAATTGCATGCAGAAAGCCATCAGCATCAGCAGCGAGGACTGATAAAAGGTCAAATGTGTTAATTAAATATTTGCTTATCTCTGTCTGGAGTCAAAGGGGCAGATGCTGGGATGGAAGGAATTAAAAAATGAGTGTGTCTGCACTAGGCAGGGCAGGTGTCGTCAGAGGCTGAGCTGTTTCACTGCTGTTTTAGGCAAGAAGCCATGATGTCGCTATTTCTGCCTCTGTCTCTGGGAAGATTTTGTACTCGTGGAGCAGGGCAGCCCCTTGGCGATTCCTGTAGCACATCTGAGGTGAGGCGATAGGTACATCCGGGCAGCGCTGTGCCTCCAGCAGGCAGGGCCTTGCTCTTTGCTGCGCACAGGCAGTTTTTAATACTTTTCTCCAAGCTGTTGCAGGGGAACATCTTTCTTAATTTTAGTTCCTGTAAAACCAGGCCAGAGCTGGCTGTGCTGGCAG